GGACGAGGGATCAGGGTGAGGGTAGGCTGGGATTGTGGCTCGACTTGATTCACCTAGGAGAAGGAGGGGGGAGTGTTATGGACAGGGCCTGCTACGTGGGGGGGAGGGGCCTGCAACGTGGCGGGATGGGCTCCAATCGGGATTACGTGCGGGGGGAGTGGTGACGGGGGGCGTACCGAACGCTGTTATGGATCTTTACCGAGGCGAAAGCGAATTGAGGTTGGGAGTGGATCTGTTCGAGGTCGGGATGGGGGGTGGTCGAGGTGGAAAGTTTGTATTCGTAGGAATAATATTTAATAAAATTAGAAATACTGATGATAATAAGTGAGGTTAAAGGAATAAAATTAATTGCTAACAAATAGACTGAAAGGGGGCCGGTGAATGAGTAATTTCCGGGTTACCGATGGATTGAGTGATGTTAAGAATAAAATTATAGCTGAGGTAGGGTGAAGTCGGGTTCGAAGTCCTGGCGCGATTGGGGTGGAGTCGGAATCCGGTCGGGATCAAGAGGGGAAACAGGCGGAGACGGGGCCTGCGTGGGGGGGCGGGGGTTGGAACGTGGCAGGATGGGATCTGATTGGGCTTGCGTCCGGGGTAGAGTGGTGACGGGGGACGGTTCTGGCGCTGGTATGACCCTTTACCGCGGCGAGGATGAGTTTAGCTTGGGGAGGGATCAGGACGGGGTCAGGGTGGGGGGTGATCGAGAAGGGAAGATACTTATTCGTAGGGATAAAACTTAATAAAGTTAGGAGTAATGATTCTAAACATAGACAAGGATTATTCGTAGGATTCAAATAAATCGTTAACGATAAATTTGGTATTCTTAGGACTAATAATGAATAAAGTTGATAGTAAGGGTTAAGATTAATAGATGATGATTTGAAGTTAAGGGGACAGATGAGTGAGTGGTTGCCTGATTGCCGATGTTAGAAGCAGCCTCAGTGCGGGGGTAGGGGGAGATCGGGCTCAAATTCTGGGCGGGATTGGGCCGGAGTCGGACTCTGGGCGAGGCCAGGAGGGGAAACTGATGGCGACGAGGCGGGAGCGTGATTGGTAAGAGACTGGGAGCGGCCTGGACAGGATCGGTGAGGGGTGTTGTGTGGTCACTATGGGCCCTGGAGGGGCCGAGAGGGGTCGGGATTGGATCGGAAAGTGGTCGGGGTGAGAGTGAATTGGGGTCGGAGACTGTACGGAAATGGGATCGGGGTCGAGTGGGGCCGGGATGGGGTTGGGCTAGGAACGGGCGCGGGATTGGGTCGATCGGGGTGTATCTAAGTGGGGCTGGGGAGGGGTCGGGGTGGGAGCGAGTCCGAACGAGTTCTAGCTTCGGATCTTTGGTAATCGTAGCTAGACTTGGCTTGTCTTGCATGGGTCTTATGATGGTTCCCCTCGCTGCCCTTGGAGCTTGCGTGAGTGTTGGCGCTGATGCCTCTTTCTCGGCTTTATCTGTTGGTGATGAAAGGAAAGGGAACGATCTTACGTCTTGTTTGCTTCTCTCGACTCTCCCTTCTTGCCATGGTGTGTTGCTCTCCTGCGTTGGTCTCCTCCTTTTGTCTTCTTCCCTCCTCCTTCTCCTTCTCCTTTTGTCTTCTTCCCTAGCTGCTTCGTCTCTTGCTCTAATCTCACCTTTTTCTCCTTTCCGTTCCTTGTCAGTATTTGGGAGGCGACCCCTTTACCCTATCGCGCCTTACTTGAGCGTGCTTCCTTCCTCTCCGTGTACCGTCCGCTCTTTTAATGAGCCCTTTGGCTTTCCTTCCTTTCCGTTTCTCCCCTACGCCGCTCTCTCCTCCTACGCCTAGCTCTCTTCCCTTCCTTTCTCTTTGCTTTACTCCCTTCCTTCTTCGGAGAAAGTTGCTCGTTTTCCTTCCCCTTTTCCTCGATTTTGTTGTCTTTTCCTCAACTTAGAAACTCTGCGTGCCTCCTCTTTAGTTCATTGCTCGTCCTCACCTCTCCCTTCCTCTCCTCGTCTTTGCCCTTAATTCCTGTCTCTTGTCTCTTTGCTGTGAGAAGCCACGCCCGTAGGCATGGCGCGGAGCCGCGTTGCCTTGCCTTCGGATTCCCGCCTTTCATGTTCCTGTTTGAAAAGCCCAAGTCGCGCGGCGTGAAAAACGCACGCGGGGCGAAGTTTCCCGCCAGTAGGATGCCGTTCGCGTGCGTGCATACACGGCAGTTTTAGCGCTAAGAATTAGCGCTTACCGAACGGCGCTAGCGCTCCCTCCTCATTCACTGACAATTCCTTATCTCACGCCATGCTGATGAATTTTCATAATTCCGTATTCTGAGAAACTAAAAAATTCTGATCTGGACGGAGACGAAAGTAATGATACAGGCAGAGATCCTTTGCAGATGGCGGAAGATTAAATTATCTTGGTCGGAGGATGAAGAGCAGCAAAGGAAGGCTAGACGGAGCTTCAGCAGGGCATGGTTGATAGATGGGAAAGTTGCTGAGTTGCGGGACAATCGCATCTGTTGGAAGGACTGGCACAACTCTAGCTCAGGAAGAAACGCTGGCCAGCAGAGTGCAGCGCACGGGCAAAGCACCTCCGGATCAGAACTCTAAAGAGAAAGCTTCGGACTCATACCACCACATTCGGGAAGATACAGTCGGGGTCTGGAGTTACGCCAATGGAAGGCGAGAGCAAGGGAGGAGAGATTTTGAAAATAATACTTCCAAGTGAGGGGCAGGGTTTAGGGTTTAGGGTTTAGTAGACCTCAAAAGAAGCGAGAAGGCTAAATGGTTTAGGGGATACAGCGACTTACGGGCAGGGCCGATGAGGGGGAGAGCACAGGCATATAGAAATAATGGGCGAGCTCTTTCTAGATGACATAGCACTATCTGGCAGAGCTGGTGTTTTTTCAGGTCTGAGAGGAAAGAGGGAGTCACAGCAAGCTGACAGTCAATCCTTCACCATTGGTGGAGCAATCAATGCTGTTCAGGAGTCCTCCGGCCAAACGGGAGGAACCGTGAGTTTCTGCTGTAATGTAATGTCTCCTCTGACTTGCCGGTGGAATAGGAACCGGACTGACGCTCCCCAGAATAGAAGGAGCCAGGACCATAAGGCCCTGCGTTTATTAAAAAAAAAAAAAAAAAAACCTAAAAAATTCGGATTGAATAAATACAGCATTGTGCTCCTTTTTTTAATCTCGATTTTTTTCAAAAACTTGCTTCTTCACTGACCTCCTTACTACCAACGCATCAGGAAGACACCGCCAAATCCCACATTTTCGTTTTTTTTCAAATTTTCGCAAAAAGGGGGGGAATTTTTTTTCAGTTAGTGTCTTACCTGCAATAACCCATGAAATATGCCTCGTGGAATGTCTGAGGGCCTCGCCAGGCCACCACTCAGACCCAGGCCACAGGGGAGAAAAGACCCTAAGTAAATTCAGGGCCTGAGCGGGCAACAGTTGACTGAAGTCAACTATCTGACGCCCAACAGTCAAAGTCAAAGTGTACCCAGCCAAGGCCGCCGGTCAGATGCAGACACTTGTTTGTATGCAGGTACCCAGACAGCATCAGGACCGAAGGGAAGTCTGCAACTGTATACAATCCAGGCCCTGGGCTGTGAGTCAATCTGTACGACTGTGGGTGGGAGACCTGAGACCAGACTGCCTCGTCAAACACTACATAAGGCTTGGTCTCCAGGAGGTCAACATTCAGTCTTGCTATGCTGCTTTGACGCTGGTTGGACACTGGCATGACGCTGGCTCGACGTTGGCTGGATGCTGGCTTGACGCTGGCTGTGCGCTGGCACTGTGGACGACGACGCGGGACTATGGCAGCATGCTGGCGGCATCTCTGTTGAGCACCAGCCTCTGCTGATGTGGCGCGTGCCACCTGTCTTCATTCCTGATGTGGCGCATGCCACCTGTCTACATTGCTGATGTGGCGCAGATCATCTGTCTTCATTGCTGATGTGATGCATGCCACCTGTCTACATTGCTGATGTGGCGCATGCCACCTGTCTACATTGCTGATGTGGCGCATGCCACCTGTCTCTATTGCTGACGTGGCACTGGCCACGGTCTACATGAGGTGATTGGTAGCGACAAGGAGGGAGATCGGGATCTGTGGAAAATTGGGAATTGGTACTCACCCGAGGTTGACGTCGACACCGTGCACTGCTGATTGTCTTCATTGTCTCCACCAGTTGACAGTGCCACGTGGCATATCTATGTGACCCAGACTTGTCAGAGTTGTTACTGTATATTGATTGATGGCGTGGAGGCGAGGGGAAGCCCGGAGAAGGAGTGGGTAATGATTGGGCTACTCTTTTGTGGTCACTGATTATCTCTTCCACCCTCTCATCTGCCTATTCCCCCCTCCACTCTCTTCGTCTATTGGTTGGCACGATTGCTGGAGACATTGTGCAGATCTGAGTCTATCTGTACTTCGACGTCTGACGAGTATCTTCCAGTCTGAGTTCATTACATACCTGAAGAAAAGAGGTTGATTGCGGTCTGGAAAAGATTGCCTGCCTGCCTTCCCCTCCCCTCCTACCTTGTTCTCAACGGCTTGGTAAGTGCCCCGTCAGTAACAGTGCCACGTCCGCAGAAATGCCATGTTTGCAGAGTGCCACGTCATCAGACTGCCACATCAGCAGAGTGCCACGTCGGCAGAGAGCCACGTCAGCAGACTGCCACATCAGCAGAGTGTCACGTCAGCAGCAGGCCACGTCAGCACCGAGGCTGAGGTTGGGCTATACTCCGACGCAGTGTATGAATCGCAGCACAACACAGCTCTGCATCTCCCACACCTGACGTCGCAGTACGTCAGCAGACTCCTGCCAATCACCAGCAGCCAGCAACCACAGGCATGGCCTCAGCAGCAGCAGCCGCAGTGAGCCCACCTGGGAGCACATCATCCCAAGGGGCACCCGGTCTGGGCCTGCCTGGTCTGACAGGGCAAGGGCCCAACGAGACCGTTGAGGCCTACCAGCTTCGTGTAGCCAACTTCTTGACCTTTATCAATGAGCAAAAGAAGTGCCGCGACGAAGCTGAGGCCGCTCACATCCGTGCAGCCAAACAAGCAGGAGCGGAGCAGTAATGACAGCAGGCCGAAGCCGCAGCAATGATCAACCAACTCCAGATGGCCACTTGCATGACACTGCGGCAGCAAGAGATGGATTATGCTGTAATACTCAGAAAATGGCACTTTAAACTGACGGAAAGCAACAGCAACCCGACGGATGCCGAGAAGACCAAGGAGGACATAGCCATGATGATTGCACTTCTCATCGCAACGTGCAATTGGCAGCAGCAGGAGCTGCAGCGCTTGGCGCGGGTGATTGACAGCAACTGTGACCAGCAAGATGGCACCAACCGCGGCTTTCATACCCACATCGGACACCTGGAGAACTTGGACACCGCCACACCAGACAGCAAACCTTATACCAGCCAGCCATCAACACGACAGCTCGAGCAGCGGATCGACCATATGGTTGCCACAATCGGCAACCTTGGCACGTTCGCAGAACCAGCAACGATCAGTCAACATATTGCCTCGTTGACAAGCGATCTCCGTACGCTGCAGCAGCGACCATCAGGTAGCAGCGACCAGCGTCCGTACAAGATGCCAAACTTCAACATTGAGAAGTTTGACGACTACACCAAGCAAGACCCGCTAGCATGGTGGCAAGGCTTTACCACTCAATCACGTTTCCGCGACGTTCCCGAACACCTTAAGCTCGCGACGCTCTATCTCAACACCACAGGTGCATGCCAAATCTGGCTCAACCACCTCATTAGCAAGGAAGGAGTCAACATGGACCGCCTGCACGCCAAGTTGGATTGGGACATCGTGGAAGCTTTGTGGAAAGCAAGGTTCATCATACAGGACGAGGTCGCCAAGGGCATCAACAAAGATTTCCAGATGTACCAAGGGAGCCAGCCGACGTATGAATGGTTGAACGAATCGCAAACGATTGTTGCCATTCTGGATCTGAACTTACCATTCACACACATTCAATGTGAGTTCTTCAACGCTCGGTTGACTCCTTGACCCAAGCGCTTGCTCGAGTGGAGGACTATGAAGATTTCGGTTCGATCGTAACTCAAGCTTGCTCCCTCATCCAAACCAATCGGCGTGCTGCTAACGAAAGACAAGGGCAGCGAAATTTTGTGGAGAAAGGAAAGGGGCAACAGACGCAACCCGCTGCTGCAGTCCATTCAACTGGACCAAGTGAAGACCCGGCATCGACTTCAGGATCAAGTGAAGGAGACCAAGTCAATGCCCTTCCACCGTGACGCACCAACTCAAGAACGAGAAAGGTGAAATCAGCGTCGACATCGGAAGCCGGACAATCGAACAAGCCTTGGGAAAAGTTCAAACTCACAGAGGAGCAACTCAAGCACCGACAAAAGTGGGGATGCTGCTTTTGGTGCAACATCACTAAGCACACCCCCTCTCAGTGCCCTGATAAGGGGAAGGAGGATGTTCGTCCCAAGCAAAGCTCGGGAAACTGAGTGCCATGGGAAGTGAGGCGGCTCGACTTCGGACTTCCCATGCCGCCGGACACGGTTGCCTTGCTAGCAACCTCTTACATGTCCGGGGAGCATGCGAATGTTGCAAGTCTTCGCCATGACTTCAAAGACTATGCTGTCCAGCTGGTCCCTCCGTTGGACCTACCCCTCCACATGCAAGACTTGTGCGCATGTGCGGTTTCATCACCGTCGGCAAGCGACTCAACTTCTTTACCCTCATTACTATCTTTTGGGGATTCGTCGGTTTGGTCGAGACTTGAGGACCTAGACCCGTTGACTATGGAAGACTTCAAATGGTTGCCTCTTCCCCCGTCCAGTTTCTTGCCAAAACCACACTGCAACGCTTTGCTGGCGGAATTGCGCAAGTATTGCACGCTGCAGTACCACCTCCATTGACGAAAGACGGAGGAGCATTTGTTGACCTTCGCAAGTACCTTGTGAAGATTGACCGCGAGTACGGCACGCAAAGATACAATGACATCGACACACCTTAAAGTTTGCTCTACATCCGCATTCAGAGTGGGAAGGCAACCTGCAGCGCCTTGATCGATTGTGGAGCTACTCGCAACTACATCAGCCAAGACTTCATGGCACACGCTGGCCTGGGGTCACGCATTTGAAGGAAGTCGCAGCCCACGCAAGTCACGTTGGCCGACGGTCACACGCACAAGTCAATTGATCGGTGCATTGACGCAGTGCCCGTGTACTTCACCCCGCACACACACGAGGTTGTGTCCTTCAACATCTTGGACACCAAGTTCGACATGATCTTGGGCATGTCGTGGCTGCGAAGTGAGGACCACTCGGTGAAATTCTATGCGGCACTGTTCACGTTCGGGATTGGAACGGCATGCTAGCCCCCTGTACGGTTCCTCCACCTCACCCTTTGATTGGCTGTCACACGGTTTTGGCGGCGAGCATTCGCAACTCCTTCGCACGGCACGACGTTGAAGAAATGGGTCTTTGCTTCTTGCATGCCATGATTGTCATCCCTCCATCGGATGAGCCAGCATCGGAAGTGCCACCGAACCCACGAATTGTTGAGTTTCTTGACTCCTTCGGCGACGTCTTCCAAGCCCCCGTCGGAATTGTTCCGGATCGGCCTATCCGCCACGAGATCATCCGCGAGGATGGGGCCGTACCTACGCGCGGTTGTATCTACAGCAACGCCGACACCGTGAATGTGGCCGGCCCCGTTGAATGAACGGTGACCGGCTGTTCATATGCCCTGCGCTCGTGAACGGCCGTTCATGGTGACCGGCTAAACCATGAAAGCACGGTGGTTTTTTTTTTTCCGGCTCACCCCGCTACCGTCGTCACAAGCCCCACATTGTAATGATATAAATAGTATTAAAAAAAAATCAAAATAACCTACCAAAACAAAACCGCTTATTTTGGCTGATTCCCTGATTTTGTTTTTCTTTATCTAATTTTAAAAAAAATATTCGTGAAAAAAATTGAAACAATTATGGGGGGGTACCCTCCGATGACCCTCACCCTCCTCCCCCCCCCCCCCCCCCCCCCCCCCAAAAAAAAAAAAACCATTCCCGCTCATCGTGAACTCCATGAACTACAACCGGTCATGATTTTCGTGACCGGTGACGAACTTTGTTCACGGACCCCGTGAACGACGAACGGGGGTACGACACTGATCTACCGCATAAGCGAGGAGGAACTCGACGACCTCATTGCAAAGGGCTGGATTTGCCCTAGCTGCTTGCCCTACAATGCACCCGTTCTTTTCGTCCGGAAGAAGAACAAGGGCTTGCGGCTATGCATTGACGACCACAAGTTTAACCAGGGTTGTCAAGCCCCGGCCCCGGGGCCCCGGCGGGGGTCCGGGGGTGGGCACCCCCAGCCCCGGCTCCAGACCCCCCCCCAAAAAAAAAAATTCAAAAAAAAAATAAAAAAATAGTGGGGGGTGTGCAGCGAGAGCGCGCACCACATGGGCTAAACCCCAAAAATGGGGTTTTATGCCCCACCCCGGACCCCCCCCGGGCCACACCCACCGCTCCTGGGACCGGGGTAGCTGCTGGTGCGGGGCTGGGGGCGGGGTTGAGT